GGACGACAACCCAGCCCTCCCCGACGACCGTGGTCAACCACCTGGTTTGACTCAGGTTCCGTAACCGGACCTGCAAGGGGGGGGCCGGAACCAGGTGGTTCAATCGGATCTGGCGATTGAACTAGGTCGTCGAACCAGGTGGTTTGTCACGCATAAATTTTTGAGAAATGTTCACAAAAACGAAAAGACCCGGGGGTGGGGGGTGCGCACTAGGGAGGACGTTGAGGTAACTAAGCTCTAAAAAAGAGACGACAAAAAAAGGAGACTTCCTCCTAAGGTCTGCATTTTGCGTCCCCCCCTAAACATCGACCACTTATATCAGAGCAACTGGAATTCATGTCCTCCGAGCCAATGTAATCGCACATCAGTACAAGCTGGAAGAGAAGAGGGGTGACGAGGACATGTTAAAACGACTGAGGTTTTGGACTGATTTCTGGACATAATAGCAGTCAGATGCATGGAGAAAGGGCTGTAATGGTAGACCAATACATGCAAAAAGTCGTCATGCGAGGGAGTGTGCAGAACGACAAAATCTCACATAGGCCATTCGATACAAAAAGATGGTGAGCTCAGAGCAGCACACACAAAGAGATCAACGAACAGAACGACGGGAGTGTTAGAGCAGGAAGGATAAGAAGAGAGAAGATATGAGAGCGAGTGAGAGCGAGCAGGGTAGCCGGCTAGCCGGCTAGCCGGATAGTTGGTTTCAAACACCAACGTCCACGACATAGGCCATTTGACATTGCAGTGTTGAACACTAGACAGGGGGCGCTTTTTCCTTTGTTTTCTAGTATACAAGAACAAGAAAGAAGAGAACAAAAGAAAGAACGAAAGAAAGAAAAAGGAAACGACAACACCCAGGTCTTTACTATCGATCTGACGCCAGGGTCTGCAACGACAACCCCTTCTCCTCCCTCACGAGTCCCTTGTATAGGCACACGCATTCTCGACCGAGTGTAATGCCCGCAGACAAAATCATGCACCTCCGGCATCGCGAGCACCCCTCATGTCTAGGTCTCTCCCCTCCGTGGGTAGGTGGTGGTCTTCGGAGCGATCCCCCCCAACCCCTGCCCCAGCTCCTTCTCCCTGCTGTTGTTGTTGTTGCTGCTGCTGCTGCTGCTGCTGGTGCTGGTGCTGCTGCTGTTGTTGTTGCTGCTGCTGCTGCTGCTGCTGCTGGTGCTGCTGCTGCTGCTGCTGCTGTTGCTGCTGCTTATTGACAGCCATTGCCATTATCATCACTCTTGCCGCGGCGTCATTTCGTTGAGCAGAAATCGTGGCTGGAGTCCACGCCGATGCTTGCGGGGGGATTGGCATATTCATCGCTGGCATTACGGGTGCTGCAGGGTAATAAATACTCCCCTCTCGAACTGCACCCTGTAGACCTTCCGGCATCGCAAGGTTGAGTCCTGCGCCGACCGACCCCAGGACCCCCCGGGCCAAGGGGTTCACAACGGGCGCTCTCCCTCTAGCTGGCACGAGTCCCACTCTTCTGAAGTTATCCCAAACCATGCCAGCAGGCGAACAGTCAAACCGCCCTAACCCCATCGACGGATGTTGGCCGCCTAGCCCTCCTGGCCACTCTTGCGCATAGGCTGCCGCCATGAAATCCCACATCGTACGTGGATGACTGGCCACCGAAGCAGCTGCAGTTGGGCTATGCCCTGGCGTTGATGGTCCCCCCACACTTTGGACCGACGTTCTAATGCCATGTTGTGGACTAATGCCACGAGGCGAATCATGCTGCTGCTGCTGCTGCTCAGAACCGTCTCTCGCGCTGTCGTGAACAGCATCCATCGGTTCTTCAACTGTTGCACTGGCACCTCTCCCTCTGCTTCTAGGAATGGCCACGCTCGGCTCTGTCCGATGGTCTGCAGCAGCCAGAGATGCGCCCTCAGTTCGCTCACATTCAGAGGTGGGGCCTGTCTGCATACGTTCCTGTGGGACAACTTCCACTGGACAAATCCTCCTCCCACCATCCGCGCCCGACTTCCTGCTGTGGCTGCTACCACTATCAGCAGACCTTCTGGTCGCTGAGCCCGCTCCCCCTTCGGGTTCCTTCCTCGAGAGCCGTTCCGTCACCCTCGACACAGATTCATGCACACTGCGTTCCCTGGAAAGAGCTTCATCAACGGCTACTTCCCTACCCACCATAGCTACAGGTTGTCCAACATTTGGGTGATGATGATGATGATGATGAGCCATGAACGATGCCCACAGATCGCCAGCCATAGCTGGTCGGGGTGGGACAGTCCAAACAGCAGGTCCGCCAATCCGTACAGCGGATGGTATAGCAGCCACAGTGGGAATCTCCCTCCCGTCAGCCAATGCTGATAACCTGTGCAGGTTCCCAGAGGCATATGGCAGCATCAACTGCGGACCGCCAAAGGCAGCTGGCGCCACAAACCCGCCACCTGCTCCTGGGGAGAGAATCCCAAAAGCTCCTCCGCCTGCCACACTGCTGCTCCCGAGACAAGTGTTTGTGCCATCGACACCACAGCAACCAGATTGACCAACCGCATCCGATTCCCCCCCTCCATCCTGCGAGGTGTTGACGGTCGCGGCCCTCTTTACAACTACGGCGACCGGTGCCGACGTCTCTCGGAGATACATGCCGGAAGCTGTAACCTCGTTTTGAGCGTTTGACGGCTGGGGTTGGCTCAGAAGGGACTGTCCAAAGAGTTTCACATCGCCCGAAGTCTGAGAACGATGGGAGTGGGGTTGCGGAACGCAGTCCACTTGCGCGTTCCACACACTTTGAGGCTGTGTATGAGTGGGGCTTTGCCCTTGAGGTTGAGCCTGGGCCTGCGGCTGACTTGGACCCTGCGCTTGAGCGTGAGTCTGACACTGACCCTGGCCCTGACCATGAGCCTGTGCCACTGTTGCTACAGGCTTCACACTCTGTGCAAACGGAGAGAGGAGTTCCTCCTCTCGCCCACCGATTATTCCCCTCACCATAGGGGCCATACACACATCAATGTCAGGCGGCACTCCTATAGAGGTGGTGGTGTCTGCTTTCTTCATGCCAGGGATCTGAGCCGCCGCTGGAGAGACCACAGGGGTAAGCCCAACAGGAGCCATTCCTGCCGGCAACAGGCCGAACGGTGGCATGGCAGCTGGGTGCCGAGGCACTGGGACAGGTCGGCTCATCGCTGTGAAGGCCGGAGTGAACATGGGATGCGCAGGGTGAAACACAGGCACCATACCTGCAGCTGCACCCGGCGGTGGACCGTAACTGTTCCGTGGAAACATTTGCATCATCATTTGCTGAAAGGCAGCTAGCGTCGCATGTTCATGAAGCATTTCACTGCCCATATGGCGAGGAATACCCGTCGGTGGAGAGAAGGCAGTTGCATCACCACCAACGACTCCGGGTTGCACTCTACCACCTTTGGAAGGAGTACCGCTCACTCCCGTCAGATTTGCTTCATCAGCAACCACCCGTGCCGGAGATGGCGACCCTGGAGACCCGTGCACTGAGATTACTGCCGCAACTGGGATTGGATGAATTGGCTGCGAGGGCTGGCCATCCTGGTGCTGATCACGCACTTGCATCTGGCTCATCTGCTGACGGTGCAAAGAGGATGCCATTGCCGGCACAGAATAACTGCTAGAAGATCCGACGAGGTCATCCTCGCTTTTGCGCTTGCGGCCTCGTTCACCTACGCGATGCAGTGCCCCAGCTCCTCCCTCCGCCATCGCCCCAAACTTGGCCTTCGAATTCTGTACAAACGTTTTGATCTGCACCAGTGATTTCCTAGGGAGACATTCCTGCAACAGATTCCAATCCTTCCCATGCCTCTCAATTACCTCAAAAACTTTATCCTTCTCTTCCTGCGACCATGTCGTCGGCTCTCTTCTCACCTTTCCTTCTCCAACCCCACCGCCACTACCTTTCGAAGATGATCTGTCCTTTTCCGCCACCGAGTGCACACCCGCAGCAACACTCCCACTGCTGCCAGGCCCTTGGTTCAATGGCACCCCTACTGTCATTCCTGTGTGATCCTTCTCCCTCTTCACTGGTAATGCCACAGAGGCTGGAACAGGTTTCTGGGCCAGAGGTTTGGCCAGATTCTCCCACCCACCGCCTGCACGTGCCAGTCCATCTAACCGTAGGTTCGTGGAGGGCGGAGTTCTCTTCGACATGATGTGATCGTTCAAACTCGGCTTCTTCTCCTGACTATAGTACTGAGTTGTACTCGTATTGCACTGTGCGAACCCTCCAAGCGATGCTTTCCCGCTTTCCGACCTGTCATAACCTATATCCAGCACACTACACAGCTCCATCTTAGGAACCTTGGCCTTTGCCTCTCCTGCTGCCTTCAGGGTTGGAACTGGCCTCGCTAATGTGCTCTGCGCTTTGCACGGGGCGCTCTCTCTCTCGTTCCCCTCCATGCCTCCTCTCAGATCAGTAACAAACAGAGGATGCATCTGCTCATTGCGGCAATCCCACGCGGGACCACGCAGCCGTGGTTCACACCACTTCCTGCACCCCATGACTTCTTGACCATCATCATCCCACGGCCTCTCCTCATGGAATCCCGCCCCTTCTGTCCGCATCATCTCACGTTCTTCCACCTCCACCTCCACCTTAATATTCTCAACGCTTTCACTGGAGGCAGTTCTATCGTCCAAGATTATGTCCACACCATGGTTGGGATCAGACTCCCCTTTCACAGGCAACACTGCCATTCTCATTTCCTGAATCCTACCTAATAACACGTCCTCCCCTCTTTGACTGTCACCACCACCACCGCTACCACCATCGCCGCTACCACCATCGCCTTTTATACCTTCCTGTTCTTCATCATCAGCATTGCCATCATGACCATCATCGTCATCATCAGCATCAGCAGTACCATCATCATTTTGCTCCTCCGTCTCCAATTCCTGTTCGTCTTCATCATCGTCTGCATGTTCTACAGCAGCCTCAATCTCTGTTGCAAACTGCCGTTCCTCCTCCTCTTCATCTAGATCCGCGTCATTGCCGTCCTCGACCCTCTCAACTCCGCGGTTATCCGCAACAGGATGGACAGGCTTGGCCTCGCACTCATTAACCTGCGCATCAACCGAGCCTTTGCACGAAACACTACTTCCATGTCCAGCCATATCACCTGCCTCACATACATTCCCCTCAACACTCTCATCACCCTCCGAAGCACTGCTCCTTGCACCCGATAGCTCGCCTTGTCCTTCGCTTCCATGCCTCCCTATGTCCATGTCCTCACACTCTGCCCCTCCGCCTCCACTGCCACCTCTAGCACACTGACCTTTCCCCTCTTCCTCACCACGTTCTGTCTTCACTTCGTAAGCCGTGTCGTCAACCGGGCTGCACTCTGCACTCACACGGTATCTGTCATAGTATTCCATCTCAGGTATCGGAGCGGCCACAATATCATCAGCTTTGAGCCTGACATCAGCACTCCTCTCCTCCATCGGCTCATCCCTAAACATGGACGAGCCACTGACTTCAGGTTCTCCCTCTCCCGGGGGGTTGAGAATCCGGGAACACTCCGGCAATGTGTTACCTTCAACCCGTTCTGATTCTGTGAATGCCATGCTCGCCTCCTGAATACGAGTTGCATCCAGTATCCCACCCACTTCGTCAAGAGGCCGCATGAGAGATCCAACCTTACCGTCTGCCATCACCAGCAGGGTATTCTCCACCCTGTGAGTCACCTCATTCAGAATAGCAGCAGTACCCTGCTGCTGATCCAGCAAAGGCCCGTTGCCAGTGACGCCCTCGATCTCCTCGGACATGACAGAACCCCTATCAGTTTTACATGTATGATGATTACCTCCATCTGTGTGCACATCGACACCCTGGCATACGTTCCCATCAAGACGCGCATCAGCACAGGAAACATTACTTCTCCCACTAGGTAGCTCACCTTGACCTCCAACTGCATGCCTACTCATCTTCCTATCGTCACTCTCTGCTCCTAAACCACCTTCACTGCCACCTCTACCATACTGGTCTTTCGCATCTTGCTCCCCTTCTGTCTTGACTTCATAAGCATTGTTGTCTGCAGGGCTACGTCCTGTGCTCTTTTCGTAGCTGTCATAGCAACCAGCTTCTGGTGTTGCAGCAGTCTCAACATCATCAGCTTTGTACACAACATCATCAGCACCCCCCTCCATCGGTTCGTCCCTGCACAAGGAAGAGTCATTGGCTTGGGGTTCTCCCTCTTCTGGACGGTCCGGGATCTGCAAACCCTTTGGCAATGCAGTTGCTTCAGCCCGTGCTGCTTCTGCGAATGCCGCTCCCTCCTGCTGCATGTCAGCTGTGCTCAATATCGCATCCACTTTGTCGATAGGCAGCTCTACAATCGCAAGCCTGCTATGTGCCTTCTCAAGCGTGGCATTCTCTACCCTGCAACTCACCTCATCCGCAGCACCCGCATCCTGTATGCGGTTCACGCGAGGGACATCAGAAGTGATGTCCTCCGCCTCCTCTGCCATGGGAATCCCTGCATCAGTTCGTGCGCACCGACCACCTGCAGCCGGTGTAATATCCATGGCCTCTGCTGGCAAGTTCCTACCATCAGCACTCTTTTCACAGTTCTGTTGCAGTTTTTCTGCACTTCCACCGCCTTCTCCATCTTTTGCCACTGAGACTGCGCAATTGTCAGGACCATCAACCCTTTCGGCAAGGGCACCAGCACTGCTGCCCTTCATATCCTTGTCCGCAGAAATCTCCTTGGTCTTGTCAGATTTATGCTCCAAATCCTCGTCCGAAACACTGGCACTGATATCCTTCTCCTCCCCTCCAATTAATGCTGGACTACACTCATGACCCCGCCTCCTCCACTCACCACCTTCAGGCTTCCATGCCGGCGGCTGTTGCAACCTGACGTCCGGATCCCTCTTCGACATGGCAGCAACCTGCTGTGAAAATGGGTGCCCCTCCAAATGTGCTCCTTCACTAACGTCACAGTTCTGTGCATCCACATAGCCCCATGACTGGTTTTGTGAGACATCTTGCCTCCTAGACCAGGCCCTGGTCACCACATCAGCATTTGGTATTGCCGCCGGATGAGCACTCCCGCTCTTGGCCGACGTGTGATAATTAATCTTATCAGCAGTCGCTGCGCTCTCAGCTCCATGAACCGCCGCTGCACTGCCATCACCCCCACCAATTGTGGCCAACTCTGCGCTGCTTGGATGAAAAGAAGAGGCAAATGGCAGCTCCTCGGCGATAACTTCCAGTCTTCCGCCACCATCCTTGCAAGCACGCCTTTGTGCTTTCACTGTGCAACTGCTACCATCCTTGCCGCTTGTGCCAGGAGGCAAGTAATGATGTTGACCGCTATCCCGGCCGCCTGGGGCAAAGTCAACAGGACCGGCAAGGACTGCTTGCCCGGTACCCTTGCTACCGTCGGATCCGACTCCTTCCAAAGCGAATGGTGGTCCCGCTCTGCCACGATCGGGAGTCCTTGCATGTCGGATAACAGGATGCGGCTCAACAGCAGCAGTACGCTCTGCACGAGCGCTTACAGTACCTTCACCTCCTGCAGGCTTCTGGTAGGCGGTGACAGTCGCTTCACGACTCCTGCCAGCAGAAGAGACACCGGACTGGCTCAAATCCATGAATATCGGATTCGGTTTTACAAAAGATCTCTTCTTCAGCTGCTGCGGGCAACGAATCTTCGTGAATTCTTCCGACTTCTGGTGCAAGTAGTAGAACATGACGCAATCGCCAGTAGACCGGTCGTCCAAAAACGAGGCAATCTTTTTGAAATTTTTGTTGAACAGGGCAAACTTCTCCATGAATATCTTCTTCTCCTCAGCAGTCCAAGGCTTTGTCCACTTCTTCTCCTCTTCCAGAGCAATCGGATCTCTGATCAAAGCGTTCGTGTTGATGAATCGGTTGGTGTTCCTTTCCTTCTCATCCAATATCATTGGCGGCATTTTCGATTCCGCCCTCATCTTCTCCACTCCTTGCTCTGCCAACAGTTTTTTCACAACTTGAAACCCTTCCGCATCCACCACATTTGAAGAAGACCCACCACCATGGGGTCGGGCACGCCGTTGCGTTTGCAGCGTCGGACCAAGCCTCTTGTCACCGTCACTTTTCCGAGAGTGTTTATCCCTGACTGGCCTCCCTTTCCTGCTGCTCATGGCCTGCTCATGTTTCCAGCTCTCTCTCAGAGCTCTAAACTTCAGCGCAAGCACCTTCTCTTTGAACTGCAGATCCTTCATCCTCTCCAAAAGCACAGCTTCCATTGCCTTTGCTACCTGCTTGTGTGACGCTGTGTTTTCCTTCCATCGGGGAGCCTCCTCCGGAGTGCTGTACAGTTTATTCGCATCTGAGGGGTCTAGAGACATCCCAGTCGGCAAAAGGTGTGAAAGTGCGTCGTGCGCCAGCTGTGCTCTTCTCCTGTTCTCACAGAGCTTGTCCAGGGATGACCGGATGGTACTGTCAACTATGTCCATGACATCGACCGTCTTTTCCTGCCCCTGCGCCTCCGATGACACTGTACCTGTTGCCACAGCATCAACAGCCACAGTGTCGACATGCAACCCTTCTTCCGGGGGGGAACTGTGTTCACACATCACTTCAGAAATGCTTTGCAAAGCGGCAGCAGCAATCTGCTCTACGCTCTCTGCCGCCCTCTTCACATTTTCAGTATCCATGTCAGCCTCCACACTCACTGCTCCTGTTGTTTCACATTTGTCTTCAACAGGTTGTGCCCCAGCCACTCCTGCTTCCAACACCGGACAAGGCTTCTCTCCCGTGTCTTTATCATGGACTTCTGCTCCCGTCTCACAGCCCATTTCCGCATCAGGACTGCTCAAACACAAACCCATGCCCACAGGCTCAGGTAATGCAGCGGCTGCTCCCTCTGGGGCATCTGTCTCTGCCTCTCTTACCCTCTGTTCCTCGGTTCCACATACAACAGTCTCCATCGCAGCAGCCACCTCATCTCCATCCGTTTGCTGCATAGATGCCATCTGCCGTTTGGCCGCAGCATCATCTGCCTGTTCTGCATTGTCATCCCCTCCTAGTGGCTGGGAAGGTGTCCAACCATCTGTCTCGGCAACGGCCCCACCAGACCTCTCACACCCATCACTGGCAATAGCCTCCATCGGATCATCCTGGTTCGGCACGCTTGCCGACATGCTTTTCTGCTCTCCTTCGGTACCTGCAACAGGCAAATCCGATCCTGCATTCGCACTACGATCCGGTTGTGACAAACCGTCACGACCTGCAGCAGGCACACTTCCAGCCGCACCGTTCTTCTGCTCGCCTTCAGCATTGGGAACAAGTGAAGTGGATCCCGCATTCCCACCACACTCTGGTTGCAGCGAACCATTACCCGGTTCCACGCCATCATTCTTACCATTTTCCACATTGAGAGCGGCGAGATCCTTTTCGCGCCGTTCGGTCTCTGACTCCACCTTTTCCACCACGCCCGATTTCCCCTCTTTCGATAAGCACGATACGTTGCCGCCCCCAACGTCACCCAGCTTTGAAATACCCTCCGCCGCATTTTCTGGGGGGGCAACCTCTGCATCCAGCTTCTCCATATCATGAGAATTTCCCAAGCTGGATGCTCGTTCTCCAACACATGGCGATTTCTCAGACTTCGTTAGACACTGGCTGCTTGCGACAGACTGTTCACCTGAGCCCACTGAGGTGTGACCATCCCCACGCAGACCATCCTGCGGTGCACCAGCTTTACCAGAACACCTTGGAGGAGCAGACGGACCTGTCGCGGACACAGTGACACTGTTGATCCAGGTTGTTGCAGCCCTGACACCAGCACTAGAGGGGGTGGATGTTAACCCCGTGAAATTCCCCACCAATGAGAATTGTGGCACGTGCATTGAAGGGGTCAAAGAGCTGGCAGAGAAAGTCGACGCTCCGCCAATCTTCGGTGCCATCATTGCAGTCACCGGAGCAACAGAGGTTTTTAACAGCGGTGCAACAGGAAGAGGGCTCAGAGGAGGAGGTGGAGACTTCAAGGGGCGTGTGATGGGCGGTTCATAGCCTGGAATGCGTAGTGCATTGGACGGGAATATGAGTCCAGATGTGAAGTTTAGTGGTAGAGTGCTTGTAGATCGTGAGCCCGGAGGCGGAAACCTCCCGATCTGGCCATAAGGCCCCCCGATATCCGCACCCATCTGTGCTCGATGGCCGTTGGTGGCAACCTCTGCACCCATAGCACCACTACTACAAACAGTTGGAAGCGAAGCAGCGGAACCGAGTGCGAGCAGGCCCGCCTGTGTAGAACCAGATCTGACAGCATGGGATCCGCTGAACAAAGAGGAGGAAGGTGCAGGAGGAAGAGGCGAAGCGCAGGTCAGAACTGCAGGAGAAGGCGTCAGGGACCCTGCCGTTCTCGGGGGCAAATTCAAACCTGCGAAAGGCAAGGGCATGCAAGTTGAAGGGGCGTCGGCAGAGGTCCCCAACAAGGAAACAGAAGATGAAGCACGCTGTGGCCGCAATGAAGTAAATCCTCTAGAGGCATCCCCCTTCCCTTCTTTCGCACCTCCAGAGGTGGGAGCCAAAGCGTCATCATCCTTGCCACTGCATGCAGCACCGTCTGAGGCTGGGACTGGGACCGGGACCGGATTGGTTGTGGAAGCTGTGCTCGCTTCCACCGGGGACTCAGACGAAGCGGTGTGCGCAGGCACCACAGAGTCTGCAACCTTCTGCCCTGACGCAGACTGCACAGCAGCCGTGGAATTTCCGTCTCCGACCTCCTCCACTTTCTCTTTTTCATACTTTGCAAGACCCTGACCCCACCCAAGCCGCTGCCTCTTCGGCGGTGACACATGAGTATCGTCCCTGAGAGGCGTACCAAGGGAGGAAAGGGTTGATAAGGACGGCAGGGGGTCCGACAAGACATGGGAAGCCCCACTTCCACCATCTTCAAGGCCATGATGCATGACTCGCCGATCTGACCGGGCTGAGTTATCCATTGATGCCAGCTGGTTTGGTACCAAACTGCTTCCCTCCCAGGACCCCGCCGTTCCCGTCCCACCTAGCCTATCCCGCAACCCACTGTACCCGCCAGACCTCCACTCCAGAGGACTGCTCCCCTGCTGCTGCGGTGACATAGTCGACAGTGTGGGTGTCTGCTCCCGTCCACAACCGCCACTCCCATCTCCATTGGCCTTGATGCAACCCCGACTACTATCCCGCCCATACCGCTCAACCCTCATGCCCTCACGATCTCTGTCTGTGGAGTTATTCCACTCTCTTCCGCTCTCTTGGACCAAAGAAATAAAGCTTGAGCTTCCGAAGCTGCCAACCTTCCTATACCCACACTCACCCTTCAATCCCCTGATCCTATCTGTTCGGTGCTCTCGCTCGGCCCTTGGAGGTAAGTCCCAACCCACACCATGTGCACCAGCCACTCCCAGATTTACGGTAGCTCCTCCAACAGCGGCAGCTGCCCCACCAACACCACCACTGCCGCCACTTGTCTCGAGTGAGCTACCCGCTCCCCCACCATTTCCAACCTTCAAACGGCCAAACCTTTCCTCCTCCAAACGTCTGAGTGAGTGATACGGACGAATCACTGCCGCCTCTGCACTCAAAAACCCCTCTCCTCTCGCATCGACGCTTGCCCCACTGCCGCTGTATGCAGTCAATCCTGGCTCCCTCTCCAGCGCACTGCGTCTCTCTTCTGCATCCTTCAGTCGATGCTCTCCACCAGTCGCAACCAGATTAAAAGACGGGCTCACACCAAAGAAGTTATCCCCCCTCTCCCCCTTCCTAGCCCCCACTCCATTCTCCAAACCACTGCCAGGCCCACTGCTGGCAAACCCAGTTCCGTCATCGCTGTTCCTCTGACCACCCCCGCTCCCAATATTATACCGACAGCTGTCCCCATAGAACATCTGTCGACCACTGCACTCACGCGATACGGATAAGGAAGAACCTGCAGCGCCTCGCCGTTTTGACATGCCGAGACTCCCTCCTCCGTTCGTTACCGGAGTCATCCTCGGGAAACCACTTCGCTCTGCCCACTCCCTTTTCCCGACCGCACGATCTCTGTCACGATCAAGGCGAGCATCGCGGCTGTACGGTTGCCGGACATCAACGGTATGCGCTCGCTCCGCTGCAGGCCAAGAATGCTCGCTTGATATTGCAGTCCCTGCCAAGTGCCCGGCATCATCGTTGGAACTGTCGCGAGCATTGGGCAGAGCGGTTGCTCTTGAATCTGCTTGGTTAGATTGGTGCATTTCCAGTTTACACTTTGCAGACACCACCACTGTGATGGCGGTTTCATCATAAAATCACGATCGCTACGAACAGCGACAGTCGGAAGAAAGCCCCAATGCCAACATCATGCAAGTGTTAGAGCCACTTCTCATGTCAACCAATTGCTTCAGACAAGTGTGACGTACGGCACAACAGGTCTCCTGCAAGCATCCTCTCCCTACACTGGCCTAATTTCTTGAGTCTTGTGTGCGCTGATATGCCCACGTAGTTCTCTTTCCAAGATGCGATGGTGTTCCCTCCCTTATGAATGCCAAAACAGTCATGCCCTCTCATAACCTGAAATGAACAGCGATGAAGACGGACGAGCAGAGCAAGAGAGACATTCAAGTAGAATTAGACGGTCTCCAGGCCAACAACGCAACCCAATGCAATGCAACGCAACCCACCTGCCAACTCATACCATCCCGCACCCATCCCCCTGTAATTCTTTCATGGGCCACTTCCCCACCACACCCGCAAATGCCTCTACCACTCACCTCACATCAACCCGAAGGCCAAATTGCCTCTCCGTAACCACCCAAATAAATGCCTTTACCAGCTGACAAAACTTACATAGTAAATCACATGCTCACAGAGTCTGTCACAATGGACATCGAACACACCATCCATTCTACATATCAGGCAGAATCACTTCATCCTCTACGCTCACCCTATGAGGTAGGTTCGACTTAATCCCCTAAAACAGTTGCTCATAAATTCATAATCCATTACATAAATAATGAACTGCAGCTGCAAAAGCTGCTAACGATGCATGATGCTCCGGAATTCCGACTGCGCATACGATGAACACTATGTCGATCAACCAATAGACGAGTTCAAAACCTCACGGTCCAATCAGTACAACTACCTCTAACCATTACGATACAAATAACAGTCCTGCACCGAACAGACATCCATGAAGGGGGTCAGTGGCCAGCAGAAGGCCGATGCCCCTACTCAATGATCGATGGGGAGTGCTATCCGGTATCATCAACAGCAACCACTAGTCCTGGCCGTTTACTCACCTACTAACATTGCTGTAAGGAATCTGTCAGGAATCTGTCAGGGATCTGTCAGGGATCTGTCAGGGATCCAACAGGAATCTGTCAGAAATCTGTCAAGATTCTGTCCTGAATCTGTCAGGAACCTTTGACCATGGCTCTGCTCTTCACAATGACCTGGCGACAAAACGAAGGACTCGCACAAAGAGCAACCCCTCTTCTCACTCACGGACAGACAAAGGGGCAGCGTGCATCCATCGCCGTGTGCATAAAAGAGAGATCAACCTGTTCGCAAAGGCCTTGCAGACATGAGCAGCTGTAGTTCTGTCAATCTGCCAATCTGGGACGGAGGAGAAGGCCACGCATCTTTCCATCACAAATCCAAAGCGGACAATCGAAAGTGCTTGAAAACGCCACAAGGCCAGAAAAAACCACCTGCACTGTGCCACGGATACCCTGCACGATGCTCGTTTCTCAAACACACACAAAGGGGCAGTGTGCCTCCATTGCCATGCGCATCAATGAGAGATCAACTTGTCCACAGAGGTCTTGCAGACATGTGCAGTTGTAGTTCTCTCAATTCGCCAATTGGTGACAAAGGAGAATGCCGCACAGCTTACCCTCACAAACACCACCGGGCGGAAAACACCACCTGCAGTGTAGCAAGGATACCCTGCACGATGTTGGCGTCCTTCAAAATCTGATATTTATTAGCTAATGACCCTCTATAAAATCCTTCCGAAACCGAAAAGCACAAGAGGGGTGTGGAATAGCAGGCCCCGGCACAAGGTAACTGCCTCTAAGCTAGCGGACAATCCAGAGGTGCTCGAAGGACGACTGGCAGGAAAGCACTGCCAGCACCAATACCGAGGACCCCACCCCAGACAAGGCCACTTGCAATAATCACTGACATCAGCATAATTTGATGACACAGCTAATGAACCTCTACGACGACATGGTCTTCCTGGAAACCTACTCGAAGAACAAGGGGGCCATAGCCACCAGGCCCCCCGTACATTCCAACTGCCTCTGCGTGACCATTTCTCAGATATCGAACAGCAAAAGCTAAGGGCAGAATGTGCTAATGACCTGAACCGTACATGCCGATATATGTTGTGATAGCGTCTATCGACTCCTCGTGGCTGCGAAATCATAGCGAATCAGACTATTCAAAACTCCCGTCCTCGAACGAACTAATTACGCTCCCGACGGAAAAAAAAAGACGTAATAATAGTTCCGCTTCAGAGGACAGAAGCCCGCCGGTTCGACTCGAAATAACAGCATGACGACACAGACGGCCCCCCGTATGTTGCACGTGGCAGCACCAGACTTCATTCCCAAACTCAAGTCCCCATCACACCGCTCAGCACGAGCCCCGTCCTCCGGAACTTCTAGGAAGAGGCCATGCTTTCAATCCACCGTCTTGGCAAGGACAAGTTAATTCATTTTCAGCGCGAAAATTTTAGGTCCGCCAATTCAGAATTGACCCTTCTCCCACTTAGACAAACTACCATCTTCTACCCGAATAGAACGCCCGGTCTTTATAGCCGTATTTGGTGCAACTTTCAGTCGAGATACGTTAATAAGTACTGGGCGTCCTATTCGGATGAAGACGGTGGTTACACGCTTCCGATCGCCGAAGCTTCCGTGTTGAACTCGAACTAACAGCACGAAGACACGAACCGTGACATGTACTGAATTCTTGCACGCCTGAGCGCCACCCACGCCCACAGAGTTTCCAGTCACTTCCATCCGTAAAAGCAGAAGCTGGCGAATTCAGGCCGAAATCAGGTCCTGGCACAGAGCATAGCCGCCTCTCTTTTTCTTCGCTCTCTGTTCTAAACACTACTACTCCTTTCTCGCACTTATATAATTCAGCACTACGGATATGGCTCTGCAACCTAATGCCAGACGGCACAAAACCGATCGGTTTTCGTTTACCCGTCATCAAGCACACGCCCAACGGCAGACACCCGATCGTTGTGAACACCTCATCGAATGATCACTGAAACTTCCACTGAAACTCCCGCATCTAGTCCCTGAACTCTCGACTGCAGCCAAATGGAGTGACAACAACAAGAATCGACAAACTCCACACCCTCCGAAGGACAGCTGAGGTATAACGAGAATTCACAAAAATCCAAATCCTCAAAAGATAGCTGACTACCATAAGTATATATACACACTAACTTGTCAAAACCTCCAAATCGTCAAAAGATAGCTACCATCTTCTCCCGAATGAATGAATACGAGCTATCTTTCTGGTTCGGTACAGCCAAAATGAGGATGAGTTGTGTTCAGGGCAAGACCGTAGCACCACAAGGGTTAACAGACCAACTTCACACCTTCAAGAGATGGTCAACGGGGAGACTTTTCTGATGCATCGTGCTCAAGATCAGCCTGCGCATCCTTTGGAGGGGAGGAAAGAGAGAGTGACAACAGTAGGCAAGATTCACAAGACGGGTGAAACGCAAGGCTGGAACGAACAACGACAGCGGGAGACTTTTCTGATGCATCATGCTCAAGATCAGCCTGCGCATCCCTTGGAGGGGAGGAAAGAGAGAGTCACAACAGTAGGCAAGATTCGCAAGAAGGGTAAAACGCAAGACTGCAACGAACAACGACAGCTGCGAGTTCGCCTGACACTCAACACTCCATCTACCTACCAATCCATGTCTACATATGGGCGTGTATGCACATGTATATCTCTCTCTGCTTCAAGTGTACCC